AAAAAAAAAAAAAAACATTACTTAGGTAATGTCAATGAGAAGGGAGCAATACTTTTGGAGAATCAATGATGGCCTTCTCATCCCCATGCTATTTGACAAGATATGTTTGTTCATTGCTTCGGTTTTCCAGCTCCCATTGTGGACCTTGATCACTGATCATGATTATGTGCAAGGGGATTACAAGGTGGGGAATTTGAACCCTCACCAACAAGGTGAAAATTCAGGCAACTGGACTACTAAAATTCCTAAGTATTAGGTTAATCAGGTTGATTAAGCTTTGATAGAAATTGGTCTAGTTGAACTGCTGGAATAATCCGAGAACTATTGTAATTCTTCCTGGAGATTGAGATACCAATACAAGCAAAATCGTTTACAGGGTCTATGCGAAGATCATGTATACCTGAAGTGAAGCTCCTAATATTGCAACTCCCCACCCCTAGTCTCTAAAGTCATGAAGCTCTTTGAATGGACAAACTTAGCAATCAAATTCAACAGGAGGATATGGAGGATGTAACTGAGTAGTTGGACAATGATGCCATATTATAAGCTTGAACGTTAAAGTTGCTAAATCTTTTAGGAAGTGTATCTTCTTACGCATGTGTTTTTAGTTATCTTTCAACCAAAGGATTTGCATTGTTAACTTGAGTCACACTTGGGCATTACACACCCTCCATTTTTGCATTGAGATAATTCTTTAGAGCACAAGGTTCACTTAAGCAAAACTTTGTTCTTTAACCACTCGATAGATGTTTAACTTATGGTTACTTATCAATGAAGGTATCTCTACGCAATCCTTGTAGTTTTTTATTTGGCAAGTATATTTTTGGGCAGTCTTGTGGGGATGAATCATCTATGCTACTGCTTCTCATGATCAGCTTCCCTACTTGTTTTATGCTGAATACAATATGACTGCAGGCTCTAGTCATGTTCACATTAATTGACAGATCCCTTTTCCTGTTAGGTATGGTTTTTATGATGAATGCTTGAGGAAGTATGGAAATGCTAATGTTTGGAAGTATTTCACTGATCTCTTTGATTATCTACCATTAACGGCACTCATAGAGAGTCAGGTTTGAGCTCTTACTGAACTGGCAATTTACTTGAACATTATTGTTAGCGGGTTTTAACTTGCCTAATTTACTTAAAACTGTAGATATTCTGTTTGCATGGAGGACTCTCACCATCCCTTGATACACTCGATAACATCCGAGCACTGGACCGTATACAAGAGGTATAGAAATAGTTGTGTGATTCAAACTTTACATGTTCATGATATGTTAAACTAGTTTGCGTTGTATTTTGTCACTGCCTGTTCTCCCTCCTCTTGCTCTATCCGACACCATGTATCAAGTTAATTTCCTATTTACCTAACAAAATTGATTATTATGGCACAAGAGGACTACAGATGTGGTTACATCCTTTTTATTCAACAGAACTACAGATAACCAAACAAATCAAGGCATGAACAGGAAGAAAATTATGTATTTTTTTATAATGAGTTCGAAAGAGTCTTATTTTCTTTTCTAATGTGTTGTAGAATAGGTTTGACAATGTTTTGTATATGTTGCATAGAGGCTTGTAGTGTAGTCTATTCACCAGTGAATGTGATCGACTTACTATAACACTTTCCTATTTCTTAGTTGCCCTACACTTATTTGCTCTAGTCGCTTCTATTATTTCAGACGTTTCATGATTTTTATATCTTTATGGCAATGTTACTAATCCTGTACTATTGCTTCTTTGTTGTGGTTGTTAGGTGCCACATGAAGGGCCGATGTGTGATCTCCTGTGGTCTGATCCAGATGATCGCTGTGGTTGGGGAATATCACCTCGGGGGGCTGGTTACACATTTGGACAGGATATAGCATCTCAGTTTAATCACACTAATGGTCTCTCACTGATTTCTAGAGCCCATCAGCTTGTCATGGAAGGTTTTAATTGGTGTCAGGTCTGTAGATATAAACCGAACACTTCCTTTCCTACCTCTAATGGAAAAATTCCACTTTTGTTCATTTCAGTGAAACTCCTTGTCTCGCAGGTATTAGTTAGTACTTTTAACATAATATTGGTTGCTTTTTTGCAGGAAAAGAATGTTGTAACGGTATTTAGTGCTCCAAACTATTGTTATCGTTGTGGTAATATGGCTGCAATCCTAGAAATTAGTGAAAACATGGAGCACAATTTCCTTCAGTTTGACCCTGCTCCACGACAGATTGAGCCTGATACTACAAGGAAGACTCCCGACTACTTCTTGTGATCCGAATACTTGAGCTGACTGTTTGTAGCCCATCAATATCGTATCTTGTAGATGTGTTTTAAAAAAAAACAGTTATGTTATTTGAGGATTAGTATCATCATCATTCTTTTGTTTGGAGTTTGCTCTGTTGCTGGCTTTTAACATATGCCCGTAGATTCGCCAGAGTTTTGACAAAAGCCCTTAGTGTCTTGTCGTGTATATTTTTTTCCAAAAAGAAGCAGCAATAACATGGTACATTGTGATTTGTAATTTAAGTTTATCGTAGAAAGCAGGTTTCTTTCAGGTACCAAGTTCTCTGCCAATTGCCATTGGAGCCTGAATCTGTGGATGGTTAATTAATTTAGTTTTTTGCTTTCCTTAAAAAACATTTTTTACCATTTTCTTTTGGTAATTTTCCCAAGGAAACGAAGTATTAGTTTGAGGCATGTGTTTGTAAAAAATTGTATCTTCCCTAGCCATTTTATGACATATCCGGTGTAATTTTACTAGTAGAGTTTGGTGGATAGTCTTGCTTATTCTACACATCTAGAGGCTAAAGCGTAAACAAAAGTTGCTACACAAGTCTCTACATATTTACAATTTGGTCTCTCTTCTAGAATTCTCTACAAGCCTAGAGAATTTTAAAGTCTTCCAAGAAATTTTCTAGGATATTCTAGAGTTTTCTCCAAACCTCTAGATTCTTTTCCTTTAATTTCATGTATAACTTGTATGATAGTGGCGGGTCATGACACTTGGCTCCAATAAAGCATATAAAAAATAGGTTTGAAGCAATTATAGTAGCAAAAAAGTTATGTCGAAAATAATGAAGAGAACAGTAACAACCAAAACAATGAATTGAAGCAAAAGAAACACTAATACGAACATCAAAGAATAAGTTAGTAAGAAAGTAATAATAATAATATTAAAAAGGGTACTAGACAATGCTTGTTAACTACATATTAATGCGACAAAAATGTATATGGAATTTCCAAAGGATAAACTTTACCTTTCAATCGAAAGTTCCAAATGATGTTTGAATACTTCAAAATAGATTTTAAACACGCTTATTCAGTTAAAAATAATAACTTAGATCGTGTAAACATGTGTATTTTCAAATAGATGAAAATGTTATTGAAATATATTAGAGAATGTTCTAAAGCTCCCAACCATGGTGTAAACTTCACATCTAATCAAGTTGATGTGATTAGCAAATCCACCAAGAAAATTAACAAATTATCTGCATTATGTGGGTACAAAATTATGTCATCTATTGATAACTCTAGCAGCTCGTTGTGTGCAACGTTTAAACTTCAAGCACATTCATGGTTCTAATTCTATTCTCCATAAAAGTAAAATTCTCGTCTTTAATTTGTATACATTTGCCATTTAGAAACAAGAGTTTAAACATATATGAGGGGGAAAACACGATGAATTCGAAAATTCTAATTTTGCTGTCAACCATACAGAGATGCGAAGGGGAAGATAGTAAACTAAGAATGGTGTGGACTATTTGAAAGGTTCAAAGGACTATACAGTACAAACTGGATATGGTCACCTTCTATCCAATATCGAGTTACTCTTCATACTCTCTATTTTCTTCTAACTATAAAAATGATCGAATGAATTACTACAACATTTTACAAGTATTCAAACATGTTTAACAGCAAATCTTACTAGGATTGCAACCTTGGATCAAGAAAGTAAAAAGATTAAAAAAGAATCCTAAGCTGCAAACGTACAGATTTTTAGTTAGAATCGAGAACTAGTTGGAAGTCTGACTGGGCCAGCACCAGATACAGCACCCGCTCGCCTTTTTCTGAAGTATATGGTTGAACCACTGACAATAAGTAAACCCAGCATAATCACCTACATAATGCAGATCCGATGAAAGTTCAGTCACGCGTGAAGAAGGAAATGAACACAGAACACCCACAGTATGCCAGCATCAAATTCGATGTTAAGGTCCATGAAAACATGATAAAAATCTCCCAATTAGCTTTGACTATACCTAAAGAATTTCCCACGTCCAAAAAGAATAACACCACACAACTTGTTTATCCCTATGCAGTATAAGAGCAGCCAATACTTCTAAGGCAAGCTTGTAAACTGGTTCACATCATTTTTTTAATTGATAGCAATGGTGTCCGAACCAACTTGTGAACACCTTAATTATTCAACCGGGTACTTGTTATCTCCCACCAAAACATGTACTAGGTAACTTTGCCCACCAAGGGAGTGGTTCATATCACTCATTCAGGAAAACAAACCCAGGAAGTTTTTGAAACAAGATGACTAGGTCAGTAGACCTAAATTTAATAGGATACGAACTTTTCAACCTAAATTTATCTCTTGACTACACATGACAATCCAAGAGGAATCTACAGGAATTGGGGATATTAAGTCCTCATAATATTCTCTCCATTTTCTGAATACAATTCAACTATTTCTTTGAAAGTTTCATGAATCGCAATATGCCCCTCTGCCTCGATTAGCTTTCCTAGTTATATTTTTTCACATTTAGAGAGGAAATGCATTAAGCCTCCTTTCCTTACTTTCAAAGTCCTTCAATTAACTTGAGTGGTCTTCAATAACAAAAGAGTTTACTGCTTCCTTGGGAAAATTACCAAAACATGATTCTAATATATGGTTCTCACATCATCCAATTTCATGTTTTGCTTTTGGATAGCAGTGAAATGATTTCTGAATACTAAAACCAGTAACCATATTGAAAGAAACAGCTAAACATGTCGCAGAATGTAAATTGGATGATTCTCCACAAGACAGTTATGTAAAGCAGAAAAAGTATGTACTTACCTCAAACCCAAGTACTGACAACTTCTCTTCATTTATTGAAAGAACACAGCTCCTATAAGTTATATACGTACGTATTCCACTCTTTGACGAGGATGAATCATCCAGCAAATTTCTTTGTCTTACCGAGGAGGTAAGAGCTTGTTCATTGTGCTTCATGACATGTGGCCTTACTGCAGTATATGTGTCCTCCAGAGCAGATCGGTTCTTCTTTCCTTTATTGTTGTTCACTTCCTTTGAACTAGCTTTAATCTCTATACATTTGAAAGGGATACGATATCCAGTTTCACTGCATCTATACTTTTCATCTTTCTGAAAGCACATCGGGAAACATCACAAATTTAACCTAAAAAAATGCAATCTAAACAAGCAGTATCTTAACATCACTTTGGTTACTTGAGATAATAACAATTATCATTCTCCTTCTCCCTATACAATTCAATAAGTGCTCCAATTTACTTTCAATTTTGATAGCTAACTACATATCACTTAATATTATGTTGTAGTCAATATCAAAACATACAACTTTCTACACGAGAAATTTGTTACGAGTAACAACATTAGATATAATAAAAAAATTAAACAGCACTGTGTTCTGCATTTTATCACCACAGTATTGATCAACTACGTCTGTTATTTCCTTGAGTTGAGGGTCTATCAGAAACAACTTCTCTACCTCTAACGTAGCGGTAAGGTCTGTGTATACTCTACCCGTTTCTCTACCTCCAAGGTAGTGTTAACGTCTGCCTACACTCTATCCTCCCCAAACCATACTTTGTGGGATTACACTAGGTATGTATCCATTTCTCTACCTCCAAGGTAGTGTTAACGTCTGCCTACACTCTATCCTCCCCAAACCATACTTTGTGGGATTACACTAGGTATGTTGTTGTTGTTGTAGTACTATCGATCAACTACAATCCGCTTCAATTTATACAAATCAACTGTTTTCATTTGCTCTATTCAGGCATATTTTTTCCTAAAACAAGCAAAATTGGAATTCTTCCTAGCTAGTTGATCATGTAACTCTACAAACAAATACGCCTCAGCTAACTGAATAGAGATACATTAAAATCAAAACTGAAACAGTGATCAATTATCAATTATCAATTATCAATACGAAGGAAATAAGAGAGAAAACCTTTTCGGAGTAAGAACAAGGAACACAAGGACCAGAAGGAGAACAATCATAAGTGATATTTGTACCAATAGGCGTCTCCTTAAAGCTCATCAGATGTCTACGCCCTATGATTCCGGTTTCATCTCTATGTTCTGCTTCGCCATTAGAGATTGCGTCGAGCCCTAGGGATGAATTTGGAGATGAAGAAACTAAAAGGAAGGAGAAGGAGATGATGAAGAGATAAATCGCCGGCGAAAATGGAGAATCCATAGAATTGATTGTGTCTCCGTTTCCTCACCGCCGATGAAGTTTCGATTTGGAGGTTTCTGAATTCGCAGATCTCCTCTAAGTTTCTGTAAATTGTATTACAAACCCCTATAGTTTGTATTATATCTATTTTGTGCGCATAGCTCAATGATTCATCCTATTACTCTCAAATGTTTATATTGTGGTACATTGCCATATAAAAATTTGTATGAATTTACTATAATTTAATTAAATAGTTTCATAAATATAACTTTGTAAGATATGACATGATTGCGATTATATTTGAACCAAATATGTCCTTAATGTATGTGTAGGTTAATTAGTCTTTTGTTAAGTTTTGCGTGTTATAAAGATATTTTTGGCCAATTATTTAATAACTATAGGAGGATGATTGCGCCAAACAGTTTATCGAAAAAATGTCATTTTAATTTACGATATAAAAAAATTAAAAAGAAAAAAAATGTTTAAAGACATGTGAATTAAGGTCCATCAAATTTATTTTCTTTAGGCCAAAACATCAAGGTGGTGGATTACTACAAAAACATTATCTACTGAAAAGACTACTTACCTAGTAGCATGTGCCTAAATTCTAACATTGTGGTTAACGTTAATTGATGACACATTGGCGCAAGGCTCGAGATTGATTGTTGATCTTCTCAAAAGTTCTTATAAGGATATTTAGTTGTAAGACGGCCTTTTCATGAAAAGGTATCATAGCATGTTCTGTTACAAATATGGACCGGTGCTAAATCACTTCAAGTTACACCAGAAATGAACCTTCCATATTTCCCCCTAACAAGTATCTCTTCGCTCTTAATCTAACCATGTCTCGCAATCTGATTCGCCCTTCTACTGCACACAATATCTCCCCATCCATACACTATCCACATCGAATAAATATTATGAATTTCACATATTTTTAACCTTCTTCTCCATTCTTAATTTATTCTCTATTTTTTTTAATACTACTTTTTTACAAAAATCCACAACTAGAGGCCACAAGGAAAAGCATAAAAACAGAAAGAAAGGCAAAACAAGAAAACAAGGGAGAACGGATGGAAAGAGACACTAACTTTCACATGGTAGATTACATAAAAGAGGGACACCATTTGTTAGTATTTTTTTTATTTTGTGTGGTCCATTAAAGAATATGTTGACCAATCTAATCTAATTCAACTTCAAGACAAACACATAAATAATATATCACGAGAGTCCCACGTTTTAAGGTCGGAAGTAGTGTTTTTCTTTATTATTGTCTTTTGCCTTTTTACTCAATTTTGACCCTTGTATTCTTCCTACAATTTTGGTTATGTCTACTTGGAAATGTTGTCATGTAAAGCAATCACATTTGCTCAAATATTCAACATCTTTCTCTCCTTTTACTAGAAAAGTTATTCGATAAGCAAGATCTTTGATTGACACGCCTATGTCGGTGAAAAAGAATCAGGTACTCAAGTAAAATAGTTGAAATGCGCGTACACCATGTTTTAAAGTGGTCCAAATTGGAAACTCAATGTTGACAATTACCATAGAAGTTGATGATTGAGTTTAATAAGCAAATAAGCTACTTAAGATATTTTTATTTGCTGCACTTGAGCTTTCGGAAACAACAGTTCTAACTTGTTGAAGTAGGGGTAAGGCCTGTGTACACTGACCCCCACTTGTGGAATTACATCGAATATGTTCTTGTTGTAACATAGGATATGGAGAACCACTTTGTAATGTGATTAATAGCATTTCAATAAAGTACTCATTCATAACTGAATCATTTAAACATAGATTGAGTAAAAATGTGTCAAGAAAGTACAAAGATCATGCATTTACTTCTCAAACTATACAGAGTTATCAAGAAATACAAATGCCATAACTAGAATATTCAAAATTCATAAACATTTGTCTAATCATTTCAATGTTATAACCTAATCTTTATGATCATGATTTTCTTTGGTCAAGTTGATTGGAAACTCATCAAAGTGTTCAGAGAAACAATGTTCTTTCACCATGCTCTTCAAGGACTGATACACTGTGTACATCGAAGGTCTATCTTTCGGCCTTGAAACCACACACGAACATGCAATTTGAAGAACTCGCAAAATTTCATCATCTTGACCACTTCCAGCAAAAGCTTTGTCAATCGCGTCCTTACTATGACCTGAGCTCGAAAGCTGATTAACCCAATCGACTAAACTACCTTTGAATCCCTCTTCTGCATTACCCGCACCAAGAGGCTTCCGCCCTGTCACCAACTCAAGCAGCACTACTCCAAAACTATACACATCCCCTTTCATTGAAGCAACCAACGTGCTCGAATACTCAGGAGCTACATAACCAAACTCTCCCAAATCCCCATTCACAAACGAACTATCATTCGAGTCAGCAGAACCAATAAGCCTTGCAAGCCCAAAATCCGTGATCCTAGCATCAAAATCATCGTCTACAAGAATCACATTCGAGCTAAGGTATTGATGCACGTATGGCGGTTGACACCCATGATGAAGCCAAGCTAGTCCTCTAGCTGCACCAGCAGCAACCCTAACCCTTGCTAACCAACCAAGCTCAGAACTATCATTTCTAATACCAGTACTAAGATTACCATGTAAAAGCGAATACAAACTTCCATTCTGCATATGCTTATAAACCAAAAGCCTTTCAGTATCAACAATACAAAATCCCAATAACGGGACTAAATTCGGGTGTCTAAGCTGTCCTAATCGATTCATCTCAGACCTAAACTGTTTTTCACTTAACTTACAACTACTCAACCTTTTAATAGCCAATGCTGATCCATCAATCAACATAGCTCTGTAAGAAATACCAGTTCTAGTTGAAATAACAATATTTTCACTAGCAAATGAATTTGTAGCTACTAGTAAATCATTCAGCTTAATCTTATTAATAGGTTTTTGAAACAATGTCACCTGAACAAGCTTGTAAGCTCTCAATTTATCGACCCAATCATCACTGATACCACCACCACCTTTACCGTCACCGAATTCTCTATCTTTCTTACTAGGCTGAACTAAAAACCATCTCCAAATCCCAAATCCAAGAATCAGTGATGCAGCAGCACCAAAAACACCAGCAGCTATAATAATAACAAGATTTTTGTTACTCAAATTACTACATTTAGATCCAATTGGATTCCCACAAAGCCCATCATTCCCATCGAAATCATCTTTCGAAAACCGGTCTAAATCATCAGGAATTGAACCGGAAAGGCCATTGTTGGACACACTGAACCGTTTCAACCGGTCGAGCCGGCCGATCTCAAATGGGATCGACCCAGTAAGTTTGTTGTCATTTAGAACAAGGGTGTTCAAGAATTTGCAATTAATAAACTCAGGGGGTATGGAACCGGAGAAAGAGTTGCTGGAGAGATCGAGATTGACGAGATAAGGTAACCAAGAACAGATTTGAACCGGGATTGGACCGGAAAAAGAGTTACCAGAGAGATCAAGAGATTGAAGAGAAGTACAGAACTGAAGGGCAGGTGGGAGTGAACCGGATAAAGACATTGAAGGAAGTTGAAGAGAAAGAAGGCGGTTTTCTTTCTCATTCCAGCAAGAAACACCAACAAGTTTACAAATTGAAGCTACAGAAGTGTTGGAGAATGACCAAGATGAGAGCTTGTTTAAAGGGTCAGAAAGTGCAGATTTGATACCTTCAAGACATTTAACATCATTTTCAATGGAAAAAGATGGGGTTAATGTGAAAATGAGGAAGAAAAGAGTGAAGAAGAAGATGGGGTTAGTTGATTTTGCTGTCATGGTGGGTGGGTTGAGTGTGGAGAAGTGAAGTGAGAAGGGGGTTAGGAAGAAGAAGAAGAACAGAGGGGGAAGAGCAAAAACAAGAATGAAGAGGCTGTGCTTGTTGTCATTTGACTGAGGTTTGAAATGACTAAAGACTGAGAAATTGGGACTTTTGGACTTTTGGTTGTGAGAAAAAGACATTTGTTACGGAGAGTTATGTGTCCGATTCGGTTTTCGATACTCATATTATTTTGTAACTTGAATTTGGGATATCTGATTAAGATTCTATCATAATGCTTATTGTAATTAATGCAAGTCTTAATAAATAATATGTCCATTTTTTTTATGACAAGGGATATCTGTAGCTCCCTTTGGGTGAGTACATGATAAAATCCCCGATCATATGTAATAGCTCGTAAATCACATAGGAGAGGTAATCCGCACTAAGCAAGTCTGGTACAATGAGCTCGACCTAGAAGGTAAACCTCTTACTTTCACGGGCAAGGAATTTCGAAGTTGAGACCTTTAAAATGAAAGTCCCAAGTCAAACTAATGGGTCATCTCAAAGGGTATATATGTCCATTAAACTTGTCAGTATTTTTTATTTAGATACTCGAACTAAATTTTTATCAACCAAACATATTAACTTCTAATAAAATGTTGCCAACATGGGTTGTGGTGCACTGGTGGGAGTGCTTCACCCTTAACCAGACGTTTCAGGTTTGAGCCCTGGGTATGGAGAAAATCTTGCTGGGAGCGTCACCCCCGAATGGGCCCTACAGTGCGCGATCCAAATTAGTCGGATGCTCTAATATGAGCTCCGGACACCAGGTGGGAAACCAAAAAAAAAAAAGCTTCTAATAAAATGTTTAAATTAGATATTTTTATTTCAAATTTTGAAAAAAACTTTTGGGTGTGTTTCCATTTGTTTGTTCGATAAAAAAATATACGGATCAACTTCAAGTAGAAAATATGCGTGTTTCAAGGCTTATTGAAATGAGTGTATATAATTAAAATAAATAACATATTTTTATATGATTAACTAAATTACTTAATAGATAATTGAGAAAGCACAAAAAATATAATTACTAAATTTGAAGAAAATGTCTATTGAAATATTTTATTGGGATTTGAGGTATTTGATTAAAATATGACTTAATTCGAGTGTTTAAATGGAATATCTTGATAAATTTAAGGGGTCGATAATGTATTGAGTCTTGATGTAGGGATCTTGTATACCTAATAGATAACTAAGGGCATGCATTTTGCCATGAAAATTGTCAAATTTGACAATGATAGTTTTTGTGTTTAAGTAAAAAATGATATAAATTGGAGTTATTATGATTTTTTTAAATTTTGTAAGCTATTCGAAGTGAAATAATT